GAGCCCTGGTTCCTATCACCACCACGGTGGGTAAAACTAAGTCGGTATGTTTCTCCACTATTACCATTGAATTATACAGATTTCCCATTTAACATTCCTTCTAGGGTCCTGTAACTCAGCTCATCAGGTAATTATGAAGTCTTTCATGAGCTGAGTTAGGTGTCTCAGAGCAGCACGAACATAAAAATGCAGTTAATTAGTTTCCCACTGGAACACTGATGTAAACAGACTGAACTGGGAACACAGAGGGACTTCCAGTCCCTGCATTATGTAACACCATTATCTGCTCAAATGACATCAAACAATTAAGCCTCAGAAATTACAAAGGCTTTGATTGAAACATCTATGTGAAACTGTGCTTTGGCCGTATTGCTTGTTAGTGAGAACTGATGATACCTTGAGGTTAGAGGTGCAAGATAGCATGTATATGTGTTTTGGAAAGAAAATTGAAAGCTGCAAGCCTCCATAATGCACTGTATGTCCAAACATATCCAAACACCCTTTCTAATTTGTGAATTCAGCCACTTTAAGGTGCTCACATTGCTGGCACAGGTGTTCAATTACGCAAACACAGTTCATAATCTCCATAAAAAACCACTGCCAAGAGAATGGAATGCTCTGATGGAGCCACACATGAGGCCAAGCATTGGCTGAAGGGGTACAAAGCCCTCCAGCATTGAGCTGTGGGGCAGCAGGACTGTGTTCTCTGGAGTGATGATGCTCCTTCCAAGACCTTTGGGATGAATTGGAGCAGAGTTTGTAATCCAGAACTAATTATCCAACATCAGTGTTTGACCTCACTAATGCCCTTGTGGCTGAATGCAATCAGATCATCACAGAAATGTTGCAATATCTAGTGTAAAGCCTTCCCAGAAGAGCCTATACTAGCCAAGATCGAACCTCACAGGTGTACCATTCCAGCTGTCCCAGAAAACATGATTATCACTCACCTTCAACAGTCTGAGATATCAAAATACTAATCACTGTTCCACTTGTTATTGTTATATTGGTATATATTTAAACTTGTAAGTTGCAAATAAATGCAATTAATAATAAATGCGGTTTGCTGATTTCAGAGCCACTCAGTTCTACCTGATGGAAACTGTTTGCCTTCAGTGTTTTGTGCTTATGATAATTTTAATAGACATCAGCGTCACTAATTAATGACATTCTATTAAAAGACTGGTTTACCAAGAGAGACACTGGAGTATTTTCACCTAAAATGAGTCGATAAAGCAAGAGTTTTGTTACAAAAATGATAATAGGACATCAGAACCATAATTAATCTTTTAGTACTTTTACTTTCGATACTTAAGTACATTTGAAGGCAAATACCTCTGTATTTTTACTCAAGTGGAGGTCTAAAGGGAGGAACTTATATTTTACCTTGGGTGTCTCTACTTTAACTCAAGTACATGGTTTGTGTACTTCGTCCACCACTGATTCTTGCGGACAAGGAGCAGGCAACAGATCTGCAACAGCTCTGTGGTCAGAACTAATATGCTCTGTCAATAAAAACAGACAAACGTACAGGCAGAATTCAGGCTTCAAGGCTGCTACAACTGTTTTTCAGCAAAATGATGCAGTTTTTTTTCTTTTTTTATAGACAACAGTATATTATACAGTGTCAGAAACCACATAAAGATCTCATTAGTATCCACAATCTTGACTTTTCGACAAGGATAAGCCAACAGAACAAAAGCTCTGTGCCCAGAACCAACACGCTCCACCAATAGAAGCTGTTTGTTGGAGGCAAATGTGTGATGATTTAGGCTCGCAACTAGCATGGTGCTAAATACATTTATGGCATTTGGCAGACGCTCCTATCTAGAGAAACTTACAATTTGAGCATCTTTACTGAGGCAGGCAATGGCAGTGTAGCCTGCCCAGGTGGGGATTGAACCCCAGTCTACAGCATAGAAGGCAGAGGTGCTACCCACTACACTACCCAACCACCGTGAGTGGTCAGTGAGTTATACGCTTCTGTTGCTTTTCAGCCTTATTAGGCTCCATCAATAAAAATGGACAAACATACATGCAAAATGCACAATTCAAGATGGTTATTATTACTTATATTAGTTTTATATATTATATATTTATGCCATGTGATGTACTTTTGTTCTTTTTCTATTTATTGAGCAAATTAACTCTAAAATCTAGTGTATTTTTTGCTAATTCAAGGCTGAAGGGCTCAAAGAGTTACATGCTTTATATTGTCTTGTCCAGACAGAGATATTGTACAGTCATTTTGGACTTATTTCAGTAAATGGACGCTGTCCGGCAGCTTGAATAAACACGTCTGATATGTCTTGAAATGCAGCCTACTTTGGTAAAATTGCACCCTGTGAAACATTCTCTACACCAGATGAAACTAATCTGCGTCATAGCAGACTCATACAGGAACAGGGTTGAAGTATGCAGAGCTCTGGAGGAGGAAAGATCAGATGATGGAATTTAGTCTGTCTGATCACAGAAGTTCTGAATAAATGGATTTTGTATTATCTGGAATTTTACTGCTGTTAGTCACTATTACAACACTGAATCGGTGTGTAAACTCGGCCCGATGCCTCACTAAACCTGGCTCTGACTGATTTATCACATAGACGTAAGCACAGGATCTTATGAAACCTCTCAAGAAAAAAAGACAAACTATTTCTCCAGAAGTCCAGCTTTAAATGAACAACAGCTTTAGAATAAAACATGGCTTTACTGCCTCCTGGTGGTAATGGTCACTTCTAACAGAGCAGACAAAATTCATCTGGTCAAATGGGCTCTCCGACAGGACTTTCACTGTCCGTTATGATCCGGTTTAAGTCTGCGTCTGACAGAGCTGGCTGATCACTATGTTGCCTTCAATAAAATGTCATTACTTCCATTAAGCTTCACTCTGGCTTCAGATCTGAAAAGAACCACAGCTGTTTCTGTCCATCCCTCCACTGTGAGAAGACAACACAGCGCTATGGGTCTGAAAGGATGTGCAGTTGTCAAGAAGCCCTTACTGTGAAAATCTGCAAATCAGACAAAGAACAACAGACTGACCGCCCGAGAATCCAGAGCTCTACATCTTTGAGTGTGTTTGGGTTCACTTGGACTGTGAGAAGCAGAAAATGCAGCCAAGTTCTAAGACTGAACTGTCAAGGTGTGGAAAAATACTGAAAACTGAAAGCAAGACTCCTGAAAAGAACGGAAGACAAAGGGTTCTTTTCTGATTTTTGTTTCTCATAATGCTGGGAAAAAAAATATATAATTTACTTTGTGTATTCGGTATAGAAATAAACAAAAATGTTCCACACTGAAGCTCTCACACGCTCAGAAAAAATGCTGCCAAATTAAGAAACGCATCCTCTACAGGAAGCAGAAAAGCTAGTTCATGCATTTATTACCTCAAGGCTGGATTACTGTAATGCCCTGCTGGCTGGATGTTCCAGCCAAAGCCTCAACAAGCTTCAGTTCGTCCAGAACGCTACAGCCAGAGTCCCTACTGGAACCAGAAAGTTTGACCATATCTGCCCAGTTTTATCAACACTAAACTGGTTGCCAGTTAAATTCTGCATTGATTACAAAATTCTTTTACCGACAGCTCTAAACGGACTCGCCCCTCAGTACCTGAGTGAACTTCTCTCCCACTATGAACCATCAAGCCCACTTACGTCACAAGGTGCTGCTCACTATTAGTACCTAGATAGGGGGGGCTTCTCATACAAAGCCCCCCAGCTTTGGAATAATCTTCCAGTCAGTGTTCGGGACTCAGACAGCCTCAGTCTTTAAGTCTAGGCTAAAAACCCACTTGTTCAGTCAAGACTTTGGCAATTAGCTTAGTTTCCCATTATATAAATGGTGCAGTTCTGGGGGTTCATGATCAGAGTATTATGGTTAACTGGGAGTGTTGGTGCTGTCGTCCCGCTGCTCTCACACGCTCACTCAGGTTTGTTGAAGGTGGAGTGGAGGGGTGCTGACATCTCAGGGAGCCCTCATATCTGTAACTCTCAGGCTCTCCCTCTTAGGCTGTTATAACTAGACCTGCTGGAGTCTCTGCTGCTCTGTTAACCCTGTAAACTGTAATCAGTCATTCTTAACCGAACTGTGTTTTCTTTGCCTTCTGGACCCGTTAGACCACCATCGGGCTTCTTGCTGTACAATGCTGTGCAAACCTCACCTGCATGAACTGACCCTCCTGACGATGCTGCTGCTGCATAAACTCAAACTATTTACTCAGACATTGCTTCAGCTGCTTTTTACACTACATTAAAAACTGTTTCTTTGTTGATTTTGCTCATGTTATTGTTTGCGATCCAGTGTCAACCAGAGGATGGGTTCCCCCTTTGAGTCTTGGTTCCTCCTAAGGTTTCTTCCTCTTATTTTAAGGGCGTTTTTCCTTGCCACTGCCACCTTACGCGATGACCGTGGGGCTCACAGACCTGGGTTTTCTGTAAAGTTGCTTTGCAACAATGCCTGTTGTAAATGTCTGAAGACTGACTTGACTTCTTACAGCACACTACAACGAATCATAATGTAACTGAAACATGAAATCTCATATTTCATGATGCACTGAATTGTTTGCTACAGAAGTATAAACGAATGCAATCACAGTGAGGTCAGATTTACATCACCCCTCTTAGAAAAAAGGTACCTTTCAAGGTACAAACACCATCACTGGGGTGGTATCTTGAAAGGTCTTTGCAAATCTTCAGTAACTTCTTGCAGAGGAACAAACTGTCACATCTTCAGTGGAATCCCTAAAGTCATCTTTAAGCTGTTTTAAACATTGACTCCTGACAGCCTACCTGTCATGTTGTGGAACAATATGACCCTTAGCCCTGGAAAAGACAAAGCTACGCAATTTGACCTTACTGAGTTTGTTGTACACTTGAGGATGCATTTACACTGTTTGCATTTTCGGGAATAAAACTATCTATTCTGACTGTGTTGGACTTATAACTAAGGTTTAGACTTAACAGCATGAAGTTCTCACTACAACATTAAAGACCAGGAGACTGCGGTCATTTCAAAATATATTATTTTTTAATTAGAACATTTTGTTTAAATAATGTTAAATAACAAAAACATAAACCATTTCACACAAGTTCAAATTAAAGTTACTTGCCTTAAAGCCCCAGTCAGAAATCATACTTTAGTACTGCAAAAAACAGAAACTTTCCAATAACAGCAACACACACTACGTACGTTTAACAGGCTCTCTGTCAGTAAACTCAGATTTAACCCAGAGCGGCTGTGGAGTTCTTTCATCAGCTCCTAAACAGGGCTTTAAATGGAAGAGATTAACTACCAGAAAAGAATAAAATAAACAGCCTTTCCCATCACTGCAATATGTAAGAGCATTCACCCATTAAATCGGAAACATAAAATTGATAAAGAACCTGAAGTAATAGCATTACATGAACGATCAAGTGGTTAATGAGTTTTTTTTCTTATCTCTAAAATCAGTTCTTCTCTGTTAATTACAGAAGCCCATTCCTGGAAGGCAGAAAAGAAATGTCTTTTTTTCCCTTTTCATTTTGGCATCAATGTGCCAAAATTGTGCCTTAGTATCTCGATTAACCAGACCAGAAATATCAACTTAATGTGTCAAAATAATGACCTTTTTTCTCAAAAATTTGACATACTAGGTCAAAATAATGACTTATTTTCTCAACATTTTGACAAAGTATTTTGAAATAACGACCTCAAAATTTTGATATCGTACCTCATAATAATGACTCAAAATTCTGACACATAATTACTTTTTTTACCTTCTTGAAACTTTAAATAACCCATTATTTTGACATAGCATGTCAGAATTCTGTTCTTACTGAAAATCCTGAGATGATACTAAGCCAATATTTTGAGACAATAAGTAACTATTTCAAGATATTTAATCAGTATTACATGAAAATAACTTTTTGAGATCAACAGTCAATTTTTTGAGACACTAAGCAAACATTTTCAGGAAATATGTACTTATTTCATGAAACTACATCAAAAAATTTGATGTAAAACTTTGCAGAAATGAGGGGAAAAATCCTTTTTTTCTTGTTGTAAAAATGGGCTTCCAGAGAAAACTATGCGAAAGAGGGGGGGTGCGTAAAGGACGCATGAACTTCGACCCATGCTGACTATTTATTTTCTGTCAGTACCGCAGTAAATAACAATCTACCTGCTGGAATAACCTCTACAAACCATAACCAAACACATTACCTTTAATTCGGGTTCCCTCCAAACGAAGGTTTCATTACTCTATAATCACGACGTACAAAACAGGATAGTGTTCACTCCCTAAATTTCACAGTGCATATTTTGAAGTGAGGCAAAACTGAGACATTTGTCTCCGCTTATAACGCTTGATCCCTTACAGTAGTTTTTTTTGTCTTTTTCCAGATTATTACACATTTGGACTGTCGATCTTTGATAATGTAAGCATGCTTAAATGATTATTGCACAAAAGGCTTCATCCTGGAAAGGCTTCTGAGAGAGACAGAAAGAGAATGAGAACAAAAAAGTGACTCAAAAGTAATTTCACCATAAGAGGAAAAAAAAAATCCCTATATACTGCAAAGACTTGCTTGCTTGCTTCAGAATATGGAGTTTTACATTCCTGTAGTGCTCTGCCCAGTTTTCAGCCTGCTGAAGTGTACGCCCCAAACACGTCGCTTCGCCAAGTAGCCAGGAGGTCTGTTCGTTCAGTCTAACGCCAAAGACTGAATATCAAAAAAGTGCAGATGTACCATCAGTGAGTCTGTTTTTATAATTACAGTTTACTAAAAGTCCGAGCACCACTAGCATGTATCATCTGAAAGAGAGGAAGAGCAGAGAAGGTCAATGAGAAAGACAGAAAAACAAAGAAATAACAGCATCATGTAACTTTAGTGTATAATTGCTGTACAGAACAAACCAGCATTAACGTCACAACAACGAAGAACTTACTTCCGGGCGGATAACGCAGGTACCTCTGCACTGATGCAACAGGATTTAGTACTAATTCTGAGAGATATTTAACCAAGATGTTGTAAACAGAGAAATTTTTTTAAACTCATCTTCCCAGGTCGATCATTTTACAACTTTATGTGGTTAATTTCAACATTTCAATGCAGGTTTTAATGAAGAAGCATTTACTTTGTGAGGTTTGTTCTCCCACAGCACATGGGATCCAACAGAACTTACAGTTCTCCTCAAGAGGCAGGATGAGTCATCATAATAACCACGATTAATGACTTAAAGGTCTTTGTGGTCATTCTGTCTCACTCTAAAGCGTCTTATTTGGCTGTTTATTTGCCCTGCTTGGAACGGTCGCACTACACCATGCAACTCTGTATATTCACAATGCAATGCTGTTATTGCCATCTACCTCATTCCCTACTGCCGGTCACCCGCACTGTTTCGTGCTTTTTCTTTACTTATTGTTGCCTGATGTCTGCTGTACTCATCTATTATGCACAATACCATTCTTGTGTGTGCACCTCATAGTATTCAGATGACGGCACAATCGCGCTGTCACCATTTTGGACGGCAACTTCAAGTTCATTCAGCAATGCTGTGGCTGTTTGTAATGAGATACCAAAGCCATAACCAATCCAGCAAAGTGAGTAACATGCGCTTTTAAACCTTTTTTAAATTTGTAAAGCACATTAATCTGAGTATTCGAGTGTACTGACTTGATTACATTTGATTTGTGGTTGTAGTGACGACAAATGAAAGCTAAAATCTAAACGGCTGAGACTTCCCGCTGTGTTATTTTCGCGGTCCAATCCGCATACTAGCACACTAAATACTACGCAAAAAATGGCACATACCCCATTATAAGTGCACTTATTAGTGTAGTAGGTGAAGTACAGAAGTGTGTGGTTTGGGACGCAGCGTTAGGTCAGCCAGTGAGACGCGACCGGCAGCTCCAACGGCTGATAACAGCTTCGCTGCGCTGCACATTAACTGCTCAGTGACAGTTAAACATCTCTAAACGAAATCCGAGGTATTTGTCGATTAAGGATCATTTACTGAGGCACAGTGATGCGCTTATTGTGAGCCGATGTTGCTTCGTATTTGCCAACTTTGAAATTCGTTCCAGGTTTAAGGCGCCTCAGTGTAACTGCAGCGTCATTTAAGGTGGAACAAAAAATTCAAACTGGCAAATAAGAAGCTGAGTTAATATTAAATATATAATATACAGGTAATATTTATGTATGAGTTTAACATTTAAGAGCTTTGACAGTTTCGGTAGCCACTTTTATTAGTTCTAATAAAATATCACACACTGGAATGCTCTGAACTCCAGGTTATACGGATCCACCAATCTAGCTGATCTTCTTGTAGCGTTTTCTGGAGATGCATCTAAAGCGTCTACATGTCGTTAAATCTTTTTAGTGGTCATTCTGGTTTATTTTGCTTGGTTTTTATCCACTTGCAGGGCTGTAAGTGCAGTAAAGGTGATGAGACAAGCTCTATCAGAGCACAGCTGGCCTTCCAAAATCGCAACATGGTCTTCTTAATGATGCAATCGCATACTATGAATATCTTCCTCCCCTCTTGCCTCCTGTGTACATCTGTTCATATTTAGGTTTTTATATGTAGCAGCATGTAGTACAAGAATTGCACACATCTCGAATCTTGACCCTGAGAAGTCACGTTCACTGGCGAAGATAACAAAAACATGCTACAATTTTACATTAATTATTTGTCCCTCAGTGAAAAAAGTGGTGAAATTCTGTTGAAAGGGCAGATTCTAACCTTTCAAACCGTGCAGCATTTGCATTTGTACGCAGAAAAGGAGATATTTTACTATGATTTGAATTTGATGAGGTTTGGTTGTGTGTACAGTCTTGTTTTGAAAACTGTTCCTTGCCACTGAAACACACACACACAAAATTCATCACGTATTTATGCCACTTAAGCCCTATTTGGGTTGGATTAGTTTATCAGGGGGCGTCTGTCACAACATTTCTACAAATCTCCTCGTGATAAAACTCGCATCTGGACAGAGATAAAATTACAGATAAGTGAGTTTCTAATGGGTGGTATTTTCTATGAACCTGGCTGTCTGTGTCATGTGGCCACATAATCATAGAAAACTGAACATTGAGGGTATTGTGAATATGATTAATACTTTATACCTGTAGCTGGCATTGCAAATCACCCTCTCAGCCAGCATGTAGGACTGACTGACTTTTCTTTCCTCCCAATAACGCTCTCACAGCGTGGAGAGGATGGAGATGAGGTTCTACCACTCAGGCCCAGTAAATGGCTGAGACTCTCCTCTGTTTTGTAATTAGGGCAGTGTTTAATTTGGATACACGTGCAAGGAGACTAAATACGACATCTACCTGGAAATTTATGGAGCTATGTATCCGGATGCAACTGACATGATCAGATCACCACTGAACTTGACATGAATTCCTCAGGGGAGAAGGAAAAAAAACTGACATGGCCTGATCCGAACGGAATAAACTTCACATCAAAAACGGGCTGTATTCTTTAATTGTGATTACACTTAAATATTATAACAAATCAATGGTAATAATATCAGAGTTCTATTGGCTAAACACGCGTGAAATCTGCTACGTGAGTACAGTCATTACCAGCGCTGCTAAACTTCATTAAGTCTTTTACATGAAGAAACAGACAGACTCACCATGATACCACCACTTTGTCTTCTTTGGATTTTTGTTACATGTCCGTACATAAAAGGAGTTATCTGGTGGGCGTCGCTACAGGAAGAGAGTTGATTTCATGTTAGAAGCACATATGACTAATTAAAAGATTCAAATCATCAATTGTACCCTATTAAATATTACGGTTGTAAAGACCACTTTGTTAATTGTAATGTAAAAAAAATAATAATAAATAAATAAATAAAAAAACCCACAACCTTGATTAAATTTCTTTTTTCTTTGGCCTTTCCCCCGCCCCCAGTCGAGCTAAATGGTTCTAAGAGCCGTTCCACGCTGGTCCGGACTCGTAAGACGTAAACTACACAAACGAGATGCTAACTGCAACAGGCTAACAGCTACGCACACACACTAATAAACACATCTGATTTCGTCTGTCACTCCAACACTGGCCTCTCGCCGTGCTCTATGTTTACACAGCAGGTAAAAGTGGCCCAAATCTGATTTTCTCACCAAATCTGATTTTTTTGTTGGGCTGTTCAGATTATCTTTTAAATGTGATCTGTATGCGACACCAGTCTGAACAGATCAGCTCCTAAACTGACCTACATGCGCAAAAAAACAGAGCTTCACGTGGCTCGTCCAGAGGTTAACAGTCATGACGGTCAGCGAACGCCAGTCGCTCCCGCAGCTTTCAGTTTCGCCTTCGCCAGGATCACAGGAGCGAGTATAAAGTTCCAGTGGTTGACAGCTGGACTCATCACCCACAGTGTTCGAGTTCACCGCAAAAGGGCTCGTTATTCGGCCACGGCCGCTTCTTCTTCATTGATAATCGTTTTATAATCGCATCGCAGCCTCTGAATCATAATCGAATCGAATCGTGAGGTGCCTGGAGATTCCCACCCCTACTGTCTTTGCTTGTGATAGCAGAGCTCCGGTTAGTCGAACTGAAACTATACTGGGGTGTTTGGATCTCTTCAGCTAAGTAGGCTAGCAGAGAGGAGCCGGCTAGAGTTAACTTGGCTAGAAGGCTTTAGACACCAGAACAGGTTTAATTTCATCACCGCTCGACTTCGCTTCCTCAGATACGAGTAATTACCATCTAAATGTGTGCCAGTAAAGCTCCTGTTAGTCAGAGACAAACCTGTTCTATGGTGAGCAGAGCTGGCAGCATGCTAGCAAAGCTAATGCTGACCAGCTACTCTCTCCTAGTTGGCAGTACCGTTTAACATTTAGAAAGTGGTGTTTAGATTGAAGCTTTGTTGTTTTTTGAGTGGTGGATTTAAACTCATGCACTGCGTTCATTTATTTGGTGTCCGTGTGAGAGAACTGAACTTAATTTAATCGTTTTTAAGTTTGAAATAACGCAGCGGTATGCAGTGGCACAAAACCGACATGAACCTCACGTCACCCCACAGAACGGTTCTGTGGCCCCGAGTACGATCAGCCAAGCTGAAAAAAAACATGCTGAGCCCAGTTTTTAAGTCTTCTGTGTCAAAAGGTGTCGAAAAGCCACTGGAACGGTTACACGCCGTGCTCAGAACTGTTCGGCCTTGCAGAGGAAAAGGTGCCTTTGAATCAGTAATAATTGGCAGTTTTCATGATGATAATGCAGTAAGAAACTGGACCGGACTGATATCCATTTATATGACCATTTATTTACCACACATATAACCAACCTATTTTTTTTTCTCATTAAAGATTATGGAATCTTTGAAATGCTATGGATGGTTTCAGTATTATTAGGATACGTACATTTTCATGGTTTGGCTTTCTTAAAACTGATTACTTAATGACCATTACAACTGATAGGGAAAGCCTTAATTAGCAGACCACCTACAGTGTGCCAGCAACCGTTGCGCTTACCTTTTCTTTGCAGCTTGACAGCATGCTGATAATGCTAAGACAGACGGACTGAACAGAGAGAGCTGGAGACCAGTCCTCTGTTAAAATGGACAAGCAGATGTGGCCGTTGCTGTACACATGTGGATGGACAGGAATATTCTCTCCAGTAAACATTACCTGTTTAAGAGAAAGAAAGAATATTAAAAATACAGACGCAGGTCGTGCTAAGGTTAACAGACGGTTTACTGTGGTCTCACAATGCAAACTTTACCTGAGGTGAGTCAAAGGGATAACGATTGCTGAATTTGAAGAGGAGCTGGAATTTCTCGCCCTCGTAGAGAGTACCAGGGGCTCCCTCCATATCTATAAACCACCTAGACAAAGACACAACTGTGACGCTGTGATGTGGCCAAGGCCAAAACACGTCCCTAAATATCTCAGTGTCATAAGCATCAAGCAAATAAAGAAATATCCATAGAATCCAGCATTTATTATTTTTTTTATTAGAAAAAAAAAAAAGTTTGTACTGTTTTTCACTTTTGAATTTCTTTAATGTTGTCTTTCTGGAAGGTAAGCATGTGAACCAAAACAACAAAAGGTAAAAGTCACAGTAAAACCACAGTGGCTGTCCATGTGTTGTGTTAATGATGTAAAATTGCAGAACATTACATTCTTCATATATACTTACTTACATTTTGGTAAGAGCTGTTTATCTTTGCAGTCCAGTGGTGCGCAACCCGGTCCTGGAGATCTAACCACTCTGCAAAGTTTAGCTCCATCCCTAATCTAACACACTTGCCAGGTCGCAAAGGCCTTAAGGATCAGCTAAAAATCAGAGCCATGTGTATTGGATCTGGACACTCCAGGACCAGGAATTGCCCCCTGGTTTAGTGCAAAGAAGAAAATGCACAAAGACTACTGCAGACGCCTAAAGGAGAGGAGAAGCTAAAGCTTGTTTTACAAACAAAACTTTAACCATATTTGTTGAATTTTTCGTGTTCAGTTTTCGATAATTAACTCTTCACAAACTCACTGTTTTAGATGAAAAGATCTGAAATGAAACATATCGTGATTTAGTAACATTAGCTGAGGTAGAAACAGAGGCGAAGTATTTATCTTCAAAGACTTTAGACCGGCTGCTTGTAAATATCAAGCCAAGATTTTTTTTTAATAATCCCTTACAAATTCGAATATCAACTTTAAAATGCCCATCGGTAGTCTGCTGTAAATGACACTGCATTGTAGCCACCTGTAGAATATTTATTCTGTATCCTAATGAAGGCCATCGTTCTTATTGATGGATTATTGTTTTTGTAGTAAATGCTTGGATGCCAAATGCAGTGAGAGCGATCTGGGAGTAGAATCTGTTATTTTACGACCTACGTGGTGCACTTTGTAGGAAGTAGGGATGCATCTGAGGTTCAGTCAGTGTTCTGGTAAATAATTGACACTAAAAGGAACACTTACTCTGTGATTGTGTTTTGCACGCTCCTTTCATTCAGTGTCATTCCAGGGGGTGGATCACTTTGCAAAGCCATCAGTTCTTTTTGTAACCGTTTCTAGTGAGTAAAAACATTGAAAGAAACAAAGACATAACTACAAGAGAGCAGCAGCAGCACGAAGAGTGTTTTCTATAGCTGCCAAGCAAAACACTAGGCAAGTCACATCTAGTAGGCCAAAAGGTAACTAACTACTAAAACAGCCGGGTTTGTTAGCTTTTACCACCTATCACCTGACCTCCAGCTTACAGGGGAACTCCACCGATGTTTCAAAATTTCTGCTTAATTAAATGGGTTAAGATGTAAAGAGAAGGTCATTCAGAGGGGTTTGGTGTGAAATGCTCCATGTTGGAGAAACTCAGAATCATAATTGTTCACAGTGGTGGTGATAGGAACCAGACATCCACCTCTCAAAGCTCCCTCACAGAAAGTTACTACATGAAATAAAGCTGATGATGAAGTTTTTGGTTTAAGACGTATATTTAATCAGTTTATCTTAATCCACTCACGGTGGAAGGATACAGGAAGGGTGTTCTAAGGCAAAGTAGTCCCCAAAGGAAACTTACTTGTTTCACTGTTTTACCATAATCAGGATTACGTATAAAACTGAAAAGACGTGCGAAGGTTCCCTGGTGGGTTTGATAGTAAATAAAATGCCTATATCTTTCTTGTAGACAAGGCGACCCCTGGTTTCACCACCACCGGAACCGCTACTAATGAACTATTTCTCATCAACCCGACCTGCGTGGTTGTGTTTACACCTCAAACAATGAATAATGCGGAATTTCTGGAAAATCCGTGGAATTCCCCTTCAACTTACTTTCTGCGGTCAAGTCAAAACAACAGCATGTTTCAAGAGGACGTAAAGTCAAAAGCACTCGTTGGCTTTCTCGCGTCCAGAGGTTAAATATTTCGTGGTGGGATCGTGATAAAGCCATTACTGTGTAAAAGCAGCTCCTGCCGTTCACACCGACAGACACCCGAGTTAGCTAACGCTGGGTTAGCAATTTTGCTAACACAACAGCTCACGACTACTCTGGCTAAAAAACTACTATTCCAGACTCGGGAGGTGAATAACAGCTCCCGACACGCACACAAAACCACAAGCAGCGGTGGACACCGTAACGAGGAGCCGAATAAAACGCGGCGTCCAACGGTTTGAATGTACTCGACTGTTTACGGCAGGTTGCTACTCACCTGCATGGACGCCATGTTGAACCCCCCGAACTGGACGGGCGAGTGGGCGTGTGACGTCACATCGGATTCCTGCCATTCTTTTCAGGATTTTTCTCATTTTTTTACAACTCAGATTTTAACGTATTTCTTTCTATTTTAGCTGCGCCGTTATACGTTTTTCACTTCCTACCATACTTCGTACCGTATTCCCAAACAACATTTAACGTCTGCATCAATTTTGCTGCAATCACTGTTTAGAAACTACATCTCCCAGAAACCCCAGCGCTCCGGCTTAGCTGCGTTAGTGTGTGTGTGAGCTCCGATAACCAGCGGCCTAGCTCGTCTGTAGCACCTTCGGTTACCCTTTCGGCGATATTGTCTGCTTTTATAAGTATGAAATCAAAGGTTTTCTCTTTTCAGAGAGGCGAGAATCATTAGGGAATTGAGGATTTGTTGAGGAATCAGCTCGCTAGCGTTATGTGTTTTACAGCCACAATGCCCGGATGTGTCGGCGGGATCTGATCTGCTTCAAGAAATTTGTAGTTCATAGAATGGACTACAAAATGAAGTACAAGCCGTACAGCCTTAGCGACGTTTTCAAGTATGAAGGACCAGATTTGCCAAATTGAAAAATAAATAAAATGTAAAAAATAAATGGCTCAGTAAATTAATCAATAAATAAATAAAAAACCTAAATAAAGTATATATTGCTTATTGTGATTGTAATTATACACATTTCCTTTTTCTGCAGTTATATATTTCTCAATTTATTTATTTCTGTATTGTTTATTGTTTTATTAATGCCATTTTTACATTTTTTCCATATCTATATTTTTAACAATTGTTCACTTTATTCATTGATCCAGATCAGCCGAGCCTCTCTGATCTCTGACTGTCTGCTGCTGTAAGAAGCCGTTACTGTACTGTCTCGTCCTTAGTTACCGCTGAGAGAGTAAGACATGTACAATCGATCAACCAATAGGAATATTAAGACGCTGTGACATCATTGACTGACAGCCCCTTTATTAGCGTAAGGACAAGGAAATACAGAAATAAACAGAGAAATAAATAAATATAGAAATTAATAGTTATGGAAATAAATTAATAAAATAAATTAATAGAAAAACCGAAAAACTGTTAATAAAGAAACATAAATAACATATAAATAAATGCAGACATATTAATTTATATAAGATTTTATTTATTAATATATTAATTGTTACGTATATTTATTTATTTTTAGATTTATCATCATTGTTCTTTGCAATTCTACTTCATATATTAATTTACTAAGTCATTTATTTTTAATTTTATTTATTTTTCATTTTGCCAAATCTGGTCCTCCTTATTTAAGAGACCCGTCCAAACGGCCATAAGCAGTATAGAGGTAGCAACTGAAAACCAGAAAAACCATTTAGGGGTTTAATTCCCACACCATGGTGACGTATGTCCACCTGGGCACATGTAGCACCGAACTGCCCACAGATCGCTGTTATAAATGAAAAATAAAAACGATTAGTCCTGATCTAATTCGTAGACTGAAGGTGGCTGAAGACCTGAAGTGGTTAATTGTAGAATATTGTGGAAAAACTTTCTAATAGAACACAGCTATGAAAAAATCTCAGCATCTATCAAAAACAAATCTCATGAATATGAAAAAAACATGGTCAGCACTTAATTCTACAACCACCTTAACTTCCATCGGCTTTTATACCTACCTGTGGTGCCTCTACCTGAATGTTCCTGGTCACGTATTAACACACACACACACACACACAAATAAATATATATGGCAGATATTATAAATAGCTATAGCTCAATTTATTGTCTGAGGGTACAAATATTATAATTACTGTTTTTCTTTCTGTTTTACGTTCTATATGTTTGTTTTTTCTTCCAATTTCTATCCTTTTTGTTTTCCTTTATTCCCCCTTGCAATTTTTGTTTGCTTGTATGTTTGCAGTTTGTTGCCCTCCCTCTACACGATGACAGTATATACTAAGAGAAATTTGTAATAACAGTAATAAAGAAAAAATTGGTCCTCCAAAGAGGAGGAGGAGGGGAGGTGGTGGCGGGCAAAAAAAGAAATATTTTCAAACTGATTTCTTTACAGTGGTGGTGATAGGAACCAGGGGTCACAATGTCTACAACACAAATATAGACATTTAATGTACTATCCAGATGTTATATGTAATGGTGATGATGGTTAAATAATCATAAATCTGAAAAATAAGGTTTCTTTGAGGACTATTCTGCCTTACGACACCCTGCAGGTAAACCTCTGCCATGAATGCCATAAATGGTTTAAAACAAATGGATTCAAATAGATTCGATTTAGAATAGATTTTAAGCCGAAACATGATCACAACACTAATAAAACAATGTCTCAGGGGTCAAGCGGAGTATTCAGCATTTCATGTAGTAACTTTCTGTGAGGGAGCTTTTAGAGGTGGACGTCTGGTTCCTATCACCACCACTGTGAACAGTTCTGACTCATCAAGTTTCTCTAGAAAGGACCATATTACACCACCCCAAATGTCTTTGTTTATGACCTAACAATTTAATCATGTAGTATATATATTTTTAAGTCGAATCTGTTGCCCCTTTTCTTGTCACAACTAAATAAAAATGTTGAAGCGTGTGATGGTGCAAAGATGTCCTGTAAAACCTGGAAATGTAGTTTAGTTTAAGTCATGGAAAACAGCTGAAATATTAGAAAACTCATAAACTAAGTCCAGTTATTCACTAAGATTGCATATTTTAGTGTCTTTGTCTCATATTTAGCTGATTATAAAGGGAAATTCCACTAACTTGTCAACATGTCTTTGTAATTAAATCATTGATATGTAAAGTCATTCAGAATGTTTTGATTTAAATGGTTCACTGTAGAGAAACGTGTCAAACAAATTTTCTTTACAGTGGTGATAGGAACCAGGAGTCCTGATAGTTGTATGTAGAACAAATAGCCCTTTTAGTTAGTGTCCAATTTGACCTGATGATGGTAAAATAGAGGTACAATAAGTTTTCATAGGGAAATATTTGCTTTAGAACACCTCTCCGTCATGATTCAAAAACAATACACTATATGGACAAAAGTATTGGGACACCTACTCATCACACCTACAGGAGCTTTTATGAATCCCATTCTAAATCCAGAGGCATTAACATGGAGTTGGTCCCCCTTTGCAGCTCTAACAGCTTCCACTCTTCTGGGAAGCTTCTACAAGATGTTGGAGAGTGTCTGTGGGAATTTCTGCCCATTCATCCAGAAGAGCATTTGTGAGGTCAGACACTGATGGACGAGAGGGCCTGGATCACAATCTCTGTTCTAGTTCATCCCAAAGGTGTTGAGGTCAGGGCTCTGTGAGGGTCAGTCAAGTTCTTCCACACCAAACTCACCCAGTCAGGCTTTATGGAGCTGCTTTGTGCTCTGGGGCTCAGTCATGCTGGAACAGGAAAGGTTCTTCCCCAAACTGTCCCACAGAGATGTAAACGTACAATTGTCCAAAATGTCTTGGTGCTGAAGCATTGAGATTTCCCTTCACTGGAACTGAGGGTTCTAGACCAACCCCTGAAAAACAACCCCATATCATCATCCCTCCTCCACCAAACTCTACAGCTGGCACAGTGCAGTCAGGCAGGTAACGTTCTCCTGGCATTCGCCAAACCCAGACTCGTCCATCAGACTGACAGATAGAGAAGCTGATTCATCGCTCCACAGAATACGTTTCCACTGCTCCAGAGTCCAGTGGCGGCGCTTTACTCCACTCCATCCAACGCTTGGCATTGTGCTTGGTGATGTAAGGCTTGCATGCAGCTGCTCGGCCATTGAAACTCATGCCATGAAGCTCCCGGTGCTCAGATTTTGTGCTGGTGTTGATGCCAGAGGAGGTTTGGGGACTTGCCTCAGCACTCAGTGACCCACCTCTCTAATTTTACATGGTCTGACACTTCGTGGCTGAGTTGCTGTGGTTCCTAAACACTTCCACTTTACAATATCACACACAGCTGACTCACAGTTGAAAATCTAGGAGGGAAGAAATTTTGGGAACTGACTTGTTGCAACAGTGGCGTCCTATTACAGCACCACCCTCAAATTCAGTGAGCTCTTTAGAACGACCCATTCTTTCACAGATGTTTGTAAAGGCAGACTGCATGGCTAGGTGCTTGATTTTGTACACCCGTGGCAATGGGACTGAATAAAAGCACCTGAATTCAATTATTAAGAGGTGTGTCCCAATACTTTAGTCAGTATAGTATATGTTCTAAACCTTATGAACTATCGTAAACCAAAGTTTGAGATACCAGGCAGTGTATCTGCAACCATTTCTCTGAGAAACGCCTTCCTGTCACCACCACTGTGAACAATTCTGTAAGTTTCTTTAATATGAAGCAGTTGCATCAAGCCACACTGACTTTGAATGATTTTACTTCTTGACCATTTAATTATGCAGGACTTTTGAAACCTCTGTTGAATTCCCCTTTAAGGTTCTACAATGCAGACAAGAGATAATACTGTTATACAGTTTTATATGGACAAAAATGAAACAGACTCTAATAGTTAAAGTGCCTTTCTGACTGATGTTTTTAGGGTGAATTTCATAAACTCAATGCAACGTTTAGTAAGTGTTGAACTTCCCAGAATTCTTTGTGGTTTTGTTGGTTCCTTTTTCACAATAATAGCACTTACAGTTGACGGGCAGATCTAGCAGGGCAGAAATTTCATACTGACTTGTGGCCAAAGTGGCCTCCCATGACAGTGCTGTGTTTAAAGTCACTGAGCTCATCAGTACGACTCATTCTACTGCCAGTGTTTGTCTATGGAGATTGCATGACTATATAGTTATACTCCTGAACTCAGTAACAAGGAGGAGCGTCCACATACTTTTGGCCATACTGACGGAGGTTTTGAATAAATATTCCCTTAATCAGTAATCAAATAGATTAAATGCTGTAATCAATAACCAAATAGGAAGTATTGCCTAACAGAGAATATTAATTCTTTCACAAAGGGTCGGCCTTAGTCTGTCTGGGGTCACAGAGAGGCCTGTGTGTACCTACTGACCCAGTGAAGAGAGGGGCAAGTTGACCTTGAAAGGTAGAGCAGGCTGGTAGAAACCTGTTGAAGTTTTGAGGAGTGAGCTCATCATGCGATGGCCAAACTGATGGACGAAGAGATGCACCTATTAGAGAATGAGCTAATATCAGAATCTGAGAAGTAAGGCAGGGATATCACATTACCCCACATAAATGGTATAAACTGTTGTTTGGAACACTGCATTTGGCGCAGTTGGGGTCTCTCGAGACCCTGTGCCACCTGATGCTGAAACAAAGAAGAAGCCTTTTTCTCCCTTCCACAAGAACTCAGCGGCTGAAGTCTTTTATTCTACTTTCTGTTACTTTTGATTGAATAACCTTTTTGTTTTTGTTTATTTTATTGTTGTTTATTTTTGTAAGTGATTAAGACAATAATTAGAACAAAACTACAGCACAGAATAGTTCAGATTTTAAAAAACATCATATGTCTGGGTTTTGGGCAAGGAAGAAAATAGCTGTTCGTCCCGACACACTGTGTATGTTGAGATAGCTACACGTCATTTGTACCGAAACAATGAGAAAAATGTTAGCGATGTAGCTGAAAGGCACTACTTATGCAAATGTTGATTACTGATGAATCACACTAATTTAAAATATATGATTCCACATAGAATCCATATTAATTGGCCTAAAGGCTTTGAAAAGGCCTGATAGTTAAACAGTGCCACACGCTGTAAGCAGAGAAATAGTATTTTCCCAAAAATAATCTCTTATGTAAAGAAGAATTGGCCAAGAGGCGAGCATAGTCAGAATTCTGATCAGATTATATTGTAATGATCAAGCTGTTTTGTTTACATTGTTGCATTCTCCATCTTGGCACTGGACAATGAGCTTTTTCAGTGATAAAAAAAAAAAAAAAAAAACACAAGATTTAATTGTTTAATACTTTCTGAAAATATGAAAAAAGTTCACAAGAAACAGTTGCATGGCTAACCTCTTCCTACCACAATTTACTTATTTACACCAGTAACATCTCAGGGCTGAACATTTTTCTTGAGAATAAACTTTGATTATAAACCAACACTATCATGGCATTTGTAGAGCAGTGCAGAGTCAAGAATAACAGGCAACGAAATTATTAACGAATAAAAAAGAAGCAAAAAATTACAACATCCAGCATATTTGTAGGAAGGCTTTATGTGGGGAAAATGTTCATATAAGGTTATTATCGTGAGTGTACATGAGAAGATAACTATGGTTTCTTTATATTTGTTGTCATTTGTAATTATGCATTACTAATTACAGAAAGTATTCTGAGGGGGAAAAAAAGAGTCTATTCTTGTAGTGAACAGTAAGATTAAAAAAAGCATAACAACAAATCCTTATGCCATTTTCACATTATTTGTTCCTTTTGTTAACAAAAATCGAGCAATGTAGGGAAGCAAAATAAATAGATTTCCAGAGATTTCTGCATGCATGTGTTTAACAATCCAAGAAGTTTGCAGCCATCAGGAGTTCCAGGGCTATCTCTGGAGCAATGGGGAATTCCGGGATTTCTGTGGAGCTGTTGGTGTATCGTACTTTGTAGGTGAAATACATGCAGACTTTAGAGAGGACGTGAGAAGGAATCTCTCTGAAATTCACTTCGTTCGTTTCATTTTCGGCAAACTGACCTGTAATGAGACAGACGTTCAAGTCAGGTATTACGGTGCAAGATTTTTAAACCTCATCTTCATTTTAAAAAAGTCAAACCATCTGATTAACAACTGCTACAATGTTATACAGCCCTGCTAACTAAGAGAGAGGAACTGGTGATTAGCTTAGCTACCAGGATAGCAGCTCTACTCACAACACAACATGGTCGATTCTGGCTAATTAAGCACCAACACAAGTTTGTGCTGATGATTAAAATATGAGGGAGTGATATCGAGCAACCGGTGCTGAAGGTACAGAAAGGCGAAATTAAACCTCTTCCATAGTGTTTGGATCTGTAGGCTTGATTGGCTAACTTAGTAAACAGGCTACAGACCCAAACTGTGCCACACACCACAGTACAGGTTTGGTTCTGACCAAGTGCAGATGATTAAAGCTAATGTCTGAGAATGACTTGTGCTGGAATGGCAGAAAGCCGAAATTGAACCTGTTCTCCAGCAACTGGAACTTTTCCAAGTCACAAGGATTAAAATCTCCTACAAACATCCGAGTTACATGTGGAAGAACTCGAAGTTTCAGCTGCTGAATTATGCACTAATGCTCTCTGTGCTACTTTCACTTTTCCAAAATGAAAAGCAGCCTGCCCACAGTTTCTCATTCTGAGAGAAGCGAAGGACGTCTTGCCTGCCCTTGAAGACATTCGACCCGCTTGTTTCGTACCTTGTCTTGTTTGGAGCTGCATCTCCAAAAGCAGCTCAGACTGAACTGTGTTTAGCTGAGTGCAAAAGCACTCAAATTTGTAGTTCCTGAATGAGGTGGAGAAACTTTTACTTTTCAAAAGGGGAAAGCAAGAGGCACAGTGACACAGTCTGCTCATTTTGTGAGAAGCAAAGGAGATCTTTTTGGTTTTCTTACTTTGTATCGCATACGGTGTGTACACTCTCAGAAATAAAGGTCTAAACTGTGAACCCCTCTTGTCACTGGTGTGGTGCCCCCTCAAGGGTACATCTCAGTATCTTTAGTCAGGGAACATAACTGAACCATAATCCACTGAAATGATATTTTCTAAGATGTACTGACTCCACACACCCCGTCTCGTCTCCAGGCTTTTTATTGTTGTTTTAAAACATTAGCTTATGAAAAAGGTACAAATACGAACTTTTTACATGGAAAAATGTATTTAAGGTACATTTACACTGTTTGTACCTTGATGAACGAAAAATGTACCTGCACAAAACCTTTATTTCTAACAGTGTATAGTTTTGATGAGCATCTTCTGTCCTAATATTTTACATTTTTGATTTCTGTGTCGTTTATCTGTGTTGCATTTGGTGCGTCACAGCTTTCAGAGTAAAAGCTGAAATCAAACGTGTTCTGTGTTGTGTGTAGCCATCAATAAACCACTATATCGATGAGTTTTTCCTGACTCTGATTTTCCCCACTTTTTATCACGGCACCTATCAGACCTCCCACATCAACAATCAGTACCTCTTAAATATAAATGAGTGGAATGTATTTAGTCATTCAAATAATAGAAATCTGACACATCACAATTTTAAAGTCATCATTTTTAAATACCGTTGTATATGTTATTACTGTTACAACGCCCAACCCAACCTAACAAAGACAATACTGTAGCAGTACAGGTTTAAATAATGAAGAATATCTTCATAATTTTGTGGGGGCTTAAATCAGCACTTTTAGTTATCTGACTTTGTTAAACCTAATGATGTTAAAACCTGTAAATTCTGTACTGAATCCTATTTTCAAAATATTAATTAAAAATAATCAGAGAAAAGTGATAAATATCTAATCAATTTAAAGACATTTGTCACAATAGGCCTGTCCAAATGTCCGTTAGTCTTTTATCAGACGTTACTCACCTGGGCCGCTTAACATAGCTTTGATGGTTCCTGAAGTCAGAGCATGTTCTCTCTTCACAATGAACTCATGACCATCAGAGGAGATCAGCTTCACATACATGGCATCCGGCCCTTCGCAGCCACCGTATGTCTTCTCTTCACAGTCTGAAAACAATCCACACATTTCAAACTCATGAACATATTAAGGACTGTCAATATCAATTAGACTAGAAAATCAAGCAATGCGCCAATTATTTGGACAATTAATTGAGTAATCGGTTTTTGGTAATCAGGCCAAAGAATAGAAGGTGACTTGAATTTTAATACTATGATGAAAAATACCTGTTACTATATTCTGCAGCAAAGTTTAGGATTTGTCATGTTATTACAAATTATAGCCCAAGAACTAGACGTTAGCTTAAATCCAATGAGTAAAAATGTTTTTACTAGAAATCACTGACTTAGACTACATGTTATGCATTAACTGACCATTCACCAACTTCCAAAAATGATTAATTACTTACATGTTAAATAAAAAACCCAAATGTTCAGGAAATACATTTTGTAGGCTAAGAACAGACTTTAAATTGATATTTTATATAATTTAATGCTAAAAAATTAACACACTTAAGTGATTAACAGACTTTCTGTTAATGCTCTCTCACATTTCCCTTAACGTCTGTGGACGAACGCATGATAAGACTTTTATGACCGCAGGACAGAAGTGTTCATTTTGCTTCAAAGGAATAAACGGGACACTTTTACAAAGTTCTGGCTCACTTCAGTTTGAAGGGAAAGAGCAAATTGAGAAAGAGAAAAAACTAACTAACTACTCAGTGTTAAATACACACAAAAAGCTGGACAATATAGCAATGTTTATCATAAACTGCATCATAATGTCACCTATATGCTTTTCTGAGCAAATCATGGGCATTGTCAATGCTTAAACACTTCTCAGTTGCTTGTTCTATTAAAAAAATTGCATAACTGATCTTGTTTAATTGGATTTAATGCAGCACAGTGTGTGCAATGTTGAATACAAATCACAGGATTCATAGTTTTTATAGTATTTTATATTGTAGCACTTCTTTGTCTGTTGCTAGTTATCAGATGTCAGAAAAATAAAATATCGTGACAACTTGTTTCGTTAAAAACCTTGTGAAAAGTATCATGATATTATATTTTGCCATATCGTCCACCTCTAAATACGCCCTTCAAATGTAGTTCAAGGGTTCTTTAGCAATGGTTCACCAATATGCCATTCAGGCAGGATTCCAAAACAGAACCTTATCTGGTACTACACAAAACCATTTTTGCTGAGTGTTTTATCTGTATTCACATTTAAAATACCAAATTGGTCTGTTACTACGATAAACAATACAGTTAATGTACTGCCATAAATCAGGGATGTCCAAGAATATAGATAGCTGACCCTCTGTTATGTTGGCTAGCACTCCTGATTAAGACACAAACCCTTAGCACGTGTGGAAAAGCAGAGAAGTGAGTTTATTCCTTACCCATCTTCTTATTTCAGCTCTTCTTTCTCTGAAAATACAGACAAAATTACAACAATACATGAAGTGTTGAGCAAACCAGGACTTCTCCTAAAGCAGGGCTAATATCCTAATTTACCTCAACATGTCAACATGTTATCCAAGGCTGCTCTAAACATATCCTTACTGATTAATTATAGCTAATAATCTCTTTATTAATGACCATTATTAATTATAAAGCTCTATTTAACGCGCTTTCGCCACTGTTAGCCTTTTAGCCTAGATAAAGGCTGGCGTGGCGGCTAGCTGACTCACTGGCTAACAAGGCAAGTTTTACAAGAAAACTCTTTATAAATATTTCTCAGCACTGAGAAAAACACTTAAAAAGACGTAAATCCAGTTTATATTATTTGTATTTACCTTCCGTTCCGCCGATTTTCGCCGAGGCAAACCGTACTGCTAAAAAAAACCCCAGCGAATCTGAAACTGGAGTCGATTGAGTAAAACGGCTACTGCTAAGGGGCCTTCAAAATAAAAGTCTTCAGGAGATGGACTTTTAAACCGTAATTTTCATATAAAAATATTTTGTAGGGGTAATAACCGTGTCGCTGCGCCTCGTGTGCATAGAGAATTACGAGTGACACATTCATATTTTTGAATATGCAGTTTAATGTGTTTCATTTTTGTAACGAGTGTCAGAAATTCTGTCGTTTAACACCGTTTCTTCACTCTCCTCCACACTGATGGCGGCGCGCTTTCTCAAAAACGATGCTGGCGCTGCGCTGCTCCGGATTCACATGGTGGTTACTTGAGATCACGTTCGCGTACTGGCTGGTTGGAAAAGAGCAAAAAATGTATCAGATAAGTGTTTTACCAGGACTGAGATACATCTCGAGAAAGCCTCATCGTATGTGGAGGACCGTCCACTGCAGAGGGGTTCACCTGCTGAACGAAACCCAGCAGAGTAAGGTCAAATCTCTCACCTGTTCCCTCCACCTGAACAGGGAGCTTTTACTCAATGCACTCCGAAGGACGTTTTCAAAGGCCGGAGTGAACAAGGTGAGCACTTGTGGAACATAAACGTGTTAAACTACGGTGCCCCACTGGTGACATCCTGTATAAATAAAAATAATGCGTGGCCACGACTTAGTAAGGCATGGGAATGAGATGATTAAGTTGTGGCCACGAGATCACGGCTTACTAAGTCGTGGCCACGCATTAGGATCTCGTTCCCACGCCTTACTAAGTCGTGGCCACGCATTAGGATCTCGTTCCCACGCGTTAATAAGGCGTGGCCACACATTATTTTTATTTATACAGGATGTCACCAGCGGGGCTCCGTAGTACTGCTGGTGACACCCCGCATATATAAAACTAATGCATGAGAAGGATATAATTAAGTCGTGGCCACAACTTAATAAGGCGTGGGAACGAGATCCTAATGCATGGCCACGACTTAGTAAGGCGTGGGAATGAGATGATTAAGCCTTGACAGTTTAATAAGGCATGATCTCGTTCCCATGCCTCACTAAGCTGTTGCCACGACTTAATTATACCGTTCCCACACCTTGCTAAGTACACACATTCATTCTATTTATACGGGATGTCACCAGCAGGACTCCGCAGGGTGTGTCTGCATGCATGTTTTACTTTCTACTGCTTCTGCTAAGTGATCCAAAATGTCCAAAGTTTTCAATTTACCAGAATCTTCCTTTGCTTATAAGGATTTCGGGGTTGTTCGTATGAATTAGGGCTGGACAGTTGGACAGTATTTATGGTTATCGTGATGAATTATGTCACAATATTCTTTTCTGAGTATGTTGTGGAAATCGTCAGTGCTTGAAAACACTTCCCCACTGCATGTTTGCTGACAAAGAGACCATTATTGGTCCTGTGATTGGATTTAGTACAATGCAGGGTGTGAAATGTTGAATATAAATCATTGTATTCATAGTTTTTATAGCATTTTTCATACTTTGCCTTTCCCGAAATATACATAGAGACACATCATGTATCGTGATATGACGTTTTTGCTATATCGCCCACCTGTAGTATAAATGTACGGTGCCCACAAGAGGACATGGTGAGTTTTTGAAATGGTGGAAAAAAAAATCTCAGGACTCATAAATATTATCTCAAGATCGTATATTCCGAGATAATTATCCTGAGAAAATTATCCTGGGATATTTATCTTGAGATACATAGAGAAAACTTAAGAGTAGTCCCAACTTCACCCTGTAGAGGGCACCAATACGCCATTCAGGCAGGATTCCATTCACTGTTATCTCCCCAAGCCATTTGTCCGTTGTCCATTTTTGAGGGGTGATGGCAGGTGTGTAACCATGATTGGACTATTCTAAAGGAAACTGACCACTGTATAGCACTTTATTTTGAACTCTGTCACAAATGCAAACACGTTTCAGTGCTCGCCAACAGATGTGATGTATCAGAGCACCATTTCACACGTTTTAAAACACCACAGGCCGTTTCAGCAGAAGGGTCACGCAAATATAGCCACTGCTTTGGTATTTATTCAGTAGCAGCTGTAGCTTTCTGGACATCTTCATGGCTACAGGTGGATGCATGCAAAGTGCGTGTCTGTCAAAAAAGAAGATCCAGACATTTCCTAATTCTGAGAGGCTTTAGAGCTTAGAACAGCAAAACATCTTCATTAATGTAGTTACTTTGTGAACGGACCAAACTATATCTTTCCCCTTAATTCATATGCCAAGTTAAAACCCAGAGGCTGGGATGTAGTGAACAGTGCTCCCTGAACAGCAAATTGATGCCATCTAGAGGGCAGAGTGGGTGTAACACCCTTATATTTTCTTATAAGACCCTTATAAGACAAATATCTTCAAATAAAATGTCTTCAGAAAATTATCTTGATGGAAGCAACTCATATTTATTTGAATATGTGGACATGAAATGTTGTGGCTCCCAAAGTCATTTGATTTTTGCAGTAGACTCTTTTTTTACCCATTATGAATGAAGGGATCTGTATGAATGACTGCTTATAAGTCTTAAGTAATTAAAAAATCTTTAGTTTTCTCTGCCATCTGGAAAGATCTCGCCTCATTTAACATTGTGTAGTGCAGCATTGTGTCTCTCAGCCTCATATTTGTGACAGAATGCATGTTTCTGGGTCCCTTCTGCATTTTTGTCCATCAGTCTTCTTTCATACCCAGCATGCATTACTAAAACATCATACAACTATAGGGAATCTCCCCACTGCCATAAAGAAATCCACTGATGTAGAAGCTTATAAATACAAAGTTGTTTTCAGCTTCCTGGCAGAAACTATAGCCACCAGGCTGTATATCCTTCTGGATTAGATAGCTGCATTTCAAACAGACCACCCTCATTTATCTGCTTTGAGTTCTTGTAGCTTTTTCCGCCTTCAAGATGTCATCAGACGAGAATTTTCCTAGTCTTTGACCATGAAAACCTAATACAACCTAATCTAATACAGATTTTTACGTTTTGTCATGATTTTGTCTCCTTTCTGCATTTCTGCAAAAATCAAACCACAACATTTTTGTCATCTTGGCTGTAAATATGTCTCATATATATTTCATGTACTAGTATAGGATAAAAAATAATAATAATATAAACAAAAACACAGACTTACTTTGCTCTGCTTTAAGCTTTCGCTCTGCTATAGCCGCTTTTCCCACATCTCTGGCAGGAAACATTTCCTGAAAAGTAGGACGGTTTATTGCAAAATGTGTCTTATCATTCTAATTTTTATGAGGCTGAAGTCGCTTCTCATTCGCCAGCGCCTTGTTCGAATTGTCCCGTTCCGCCTTAAATGGTCTCTGAGATTCCGGAATGTAACTTCTACACCATTTAAGGTGGAACGGGAAACTTTGAACAAGAATCTGACTTCACCTTCACGACTTTTTCGTTTTTGACAGTTTCTCGTTGCAGATTAAACGTATCAGGAAACCAGCTGCAGTGATTACAAACGTAAATAAGTCCATTCATCTCCAAATTATCAGTGTTCGTCTTAAATTTCTCTCTTTGCCTTTTCTTTAGCTGCTAGCTAGGCGGGACTGTTGTTGTCAGGGTTAAAGGGTGAATTAGCAGTTCTACATTAACTCCAGAGTTTAAGACCATTTACTGTTAAACTGTGTTGAACGATCAGCAGAGCTTTATTTTACTGTAAAGGAGGATTATTTAATTTTTACCTACAAATCTGATTCAGCCGTGGAGCCACAACAGGGCAGTAAAACAGACATGTGTTGCCGACCCCAGACTAGTGTAAAGCCTCCCCAGAAGAGTAGAAGCTGTTACTGCAGCAAAGGAGGACAAACTCACTATTAATACCCCTCATTTTAGAGCAGGTTGGATGAGCTGGTGTCTACAAACATTTGGATGTGTAGTGTAGTTCGGAAGCTCATGGTCACCTTGTCCACCCAAACAGATGCTGTATCCAGACACTATATTGCTGCTTATCCAAGTGACTGCATATGATAAAATGTGTACTCAAGGTCAAACTATAACTGTGCTGGTAGCTGAAGATACAGTCTGGATCTGGTTCTGCTCAATACAGTGTATGTTAACTGTTATAGCAGTCGTATATTAATATTCTCTGTACTGATATCACAGAGAGGATATAATATGCAAGTGAGCCTGTTAACAATTCACAAAATGCTTATTGTGTCCTTTGAGCTCTCTGACCACCTTGTCTGTCTTGACAGGTTCAGCCGTATACTTACGGACGATGCTTTTCCTCCCAGCCCGTCAGCCCTGAGGATGGAGTCCTGATCTACTCTGGCAATCTGGGCAAAGCTGTGCTCGGTATTTCCCTTTTTTATGCTTACATTTTATTCCCAAATCTAAAAGTATCCTTTAGGGCTGCACCGCACATGGTTGGTTAATTGGTATTGCAGGATTGGCAGTACTGATATTGCAGCTGCTGAAATGTCCAAACTGAGGCTGTTGTTGTGTTGGTTAGCCAGAAACTGTCGTTTAAAAAAAAAGCTGCATATTTTGTTGTTGCAAGGAAATATTAAAGAATAAACAGACAGTGGCCAAAGTATTCAGTTTTATCCAGTTCACCTTGTGCACATCATTCTCTTCTATACTGCGTATTTTTCTCCACGGGAAAAGTCAGCACAGGCTGCTGTTGCGCTTCCATGGCAGGAGGTTTATACATTGGTTATTGTTAGAGCTGGGCGATATGACTAAAAACGTTATCACGATAAACAAAACTCATATCGTTCGATATCGATACATATCGTGATAAATGTCAAATCATGATTTCTTTCACGTTTGAAGGCTGATTTTGCTCCTGGGTGGTTAACTGTGGTTTTAAACTATCACTTATGGTCCGATCATGACAAACACTCGGCAAACAGTGGAACATTTCACTAATCTGTCTCGGGACAGTGGGAGAAAGTTTCTGAGCTGTTTTTATCAGCTTGAAAAGCACAGCTGCCATTTTTGTAATAGTCATGATTTAAGAAAGAAAACAGATTATTTTTAGCGGTCTGGTGACGAGCGCTCGGCTACCCCGCTACAAACGCTAAACAAGTGGCCAACAACAGAGCTAAACTCTTTAGTTTCTCAACAACGTCAACTCGGTTGAACATATTTCTGAGCTGACTCGGCTACATCATTGGATATAATCCGTACAGAAAAACACTAAAGCTGAAGTTCTGAGAGCTGAGACTGATCACAGTGCTGAATATTTACACATCTTTCTGTGAGCTGTGTAAGGAATGAGGTTTACATTAAACTGTATGCATTTCATGGTTAGATGATTTTATAAGACATCCTAGTTTATCTGTTTCCACTAAAGTATTCCCTGAAAGACGTGTAGAGGCTGTTACTGTTTGAGTCGAAATTATGAGCAGATTGCTTAATTAATAATGTAATTTTAGTGAGTCCTGCTGCCCATCAGCTCCCTGGACTCTAGCTTACGTTAATAGGTGTGAACCTCTACAGACAGTAAACACATTCACAGCCTTCACACTGTATATTTACACTGATATCTGTTCAGAACATTTACACCATAAAAATCAGCAGCAACATCAGCAAATCACCCAGCTTTGATTTTTACTGTAATATATTTCACTGGTAATCATGCTGATCACTTCATACAGGATCAGACATTATTACTGCATTAGACAGTCAAACAGCTACACAGACTCTCACAGTTAAAGACGAACACCGAGAGAGAGGGAGGGAGGGAGCGAGGGATCAGATCAGGCCAGTCGACAGCGCGACAGAATCACCGTGCAGAGTTTATGAAAATCTGTTTTAGTTTAGATTTCTTGTCTCACAGCTGTAAACGACCGTTTATCTCCAAAACAGCAGCTAAACCAGGCTGTGTAAACGGACGAACTGCAGGCTGTGGGCGACACCTGTTCACTAAAGTGTCTGAGAGGCACCTGTGATAAAATAAACGCAGCAGATTTTAAGTTTAATAAACAGAAGCATTACAAAAGAAAGAAGAAACCCGTGAACACGGCACCTGTTCAGCTCGGATCAGCTCGGCTGGAGTGGAGCTGTGAGAGCGGATCTCAGCAGGTTTCGTGTTCGGCCGCTGATAATAACACAGTTTTCTTTAGTTCATGTTAAATGAACACAGATGACCGTTTGGAGGGTCAGTTCCTCCTCTGAGCTGGTTCAGTTCTCCTCTGTCCTTCTCCACTAAACTGGACCTCTCTGTAGTGTTTTTCCTGCTGGAGCTGCTGTTTTTTGATTGGTGGATCTTTTAAATTTAAACGAATTTACTTCGTTCGTATTGGTGTCTGAGCTGAAACGCTCATCGTTTATTTTTACTCTGTGACGTTATGAAGATTAAAGTAGTGAAGTAAAAGGATTTCATTAAAATGAACTCAAGTAGAGTAAAAGTACTGATTTAATTCTACTCCAAAAAGTACCGTTACAGGGAAAACTGTACTCAATTACAGCAACGAGAGTAAATGTGATTCGTTACTTAAACCTCTGAGAGTTATAATAACCAGCCATAGCAGCTACATTTACCAACTGAAATTCAATATTCTGTCTGTAATTCACTGAAAACGCTTCCAGAATGTTACATTTAGAGTCTTGTTAGTTGAACTTGTATGCATTTGGATTAATGTCTCAACATTCATTTTGAAGTAAAATGGGGAAACAGATGAATGTCTTCTAGAACACTGTTGATAAGTTAGTAAGTATAGCAGAAATAATGTACACACTTAAAAGAGATGGCTCTTCAGGAGTTCTTTAGTAAAGAAAATGGTTCTATATAGAACCGTGAACACTCAAAGAACCCTTTGCATGTTTAAAGCGTTCTTCAGATTGATGGAGACCTTGCTGAGGTTGGTTCTAGCACCAAAAAGGATTCTTCTACTTTTACAGGTTCAGCATCATAATAAAAGAAGAGCCCTTTTGGGTGCTATATAGAACCCTTTTCAAACCCTTTAGAACCATCCACAGCACATTCTCCATCAATCTGAAGAACTATTTAATCATGAAAAGGGTTCTTTCAGTGTTCATGGTTCTATATAGGACTATTATCTTTACTAAAGACCCCTGAAAGAGCCATTATTTTTAAGAGCGTGTTTATGAATATGGTTATAGCGCACGTTCCACAGCATGTTAACAAATTAAATGATTCTAAAAAAACAAAGTGTCTCAAAACTGCATTTGAGCACTGTAAATTTGGAAAAATCATAATTATTGGATTGTATCAATAACGACCAGCACTGCTTTATATCTGCTGCATCTTCATTCCAGCAAATCCGCTTAACATGCTTGTGTTTTCATTGCAGGAGTGAAGTTTTTCTCCTACTCCACCAGCATGTTCAGCTTGTGCGTGATGCCCTACGTCCTCACGAAGACGGGCCTCGGGGTAAGCAGCTTAGCGATGAAGGTGGCGTTCTGCGGCTTCATCGGGTTCTTCACCTTTCTGACTCCGCTGCTCCTCCACCTGATCACCAAAGGCTACGTGGTGCGCTTGTATCACAACAAAGACACGGACATGTACACGGCCGTCACGTACAGCGCGCTTCTGGTGGAGAAAAAGACTGTGTTTCACCAGAGTGACGTCAAAATCCCCGACGTGAGCAGGATGTTCACAAGTTTCTATGCCAAAAAGCGCTCGATGCTTGTAAACCCGATGCTTTTTGAATTGCCCCACGACTACAACCACCTGATGGGTTACGATCAGCCGTTCTCGTTCGACTTGGACGATTTAAAAAAGCCAGATAAAAGTTAAGTGTGGTCAGGTTGGTTGTATCTCTGTAACACTTCATAATCACATATAAAGGACTGTTATGAACTAGATTTTGAATGCAGGCTGAAAGATCCCAGCGGGGTGTAACTTATTTGAGACTTGCTGTAAATAAATCTGTCTGTCTGTTATAATATCTGCCCATGAGCTCTGCATTTCTGCCTCCAGTTTGGGTTCAGGTTCAGATGCTCCGCCCACAGAGGTACAGTCATATCGTCCTCCTGGAATTATAAGGTTCTGTCAAAATTGAGTTATTCACATATTCTTATTCTACAACTTCTCAAAATTATGTGATGTGTTTCAATCTCCACGGTCAAACTCTAACTTAGTTCTGTAAGGTTCTGTCTGCGAGCCAATCAGCACTTCATACACACACTAGAGGACCAATCAGCTTCTGCTTCTTTGTCATGTCGCCGTTCTGCTCAGTGACTGCGGGAAAAAACATGAAAACATGTTGCTGAACTTCTGCCTGAATTCGAACAGTTCTTTATAAAGTGTTATTGTTGTAAATTTAATGAATATTAAGCCTTAAATAGTGAACATTTGAACTGATGGGGTCTTAATTACAACATAAACATTAATTTCATTCATTCATCCATGTTTTCTTTTTTTTCTTTCTCCCAAAAAATAAGACATTTTGGTGCTTTAAGTCAACATTTCTGATATAAAACTAAACCTCACACTGCCTTTATACTGACCTGCTACACTGACCTGCTGGGACCGTTCATTACAGTAGCTGGTTTCTGTCTAACTAAAGAAAACGTAAACTAATGGTTCCGAAAACTGACCTCTGCACTGGCAAAACATTCAGCACTGACCTTTATATTTAATCTGCAATGCTTTTTTTTTTAATAAGAAAAAGATGATTTGTTCTAAAACAAGAAATAAAAGTCCTCAAAAGAAATAATAAAGTAAATAAAAATGTCATAGATACATTAAATGTAACTTTCTGTTGATGTAGACTCTCTGTTACACTGAATTTAAGTTTTAAAGCAAATTAGGAGTATAAACGTTTGTGTTTCTTGAAAAACGTCGCTTCTTGTCAGGTTTTTCCAGACAGAACCTTATAACTTCATTCAGAAAGTGAGTTCTTAGGATTTTATCTGCATTCAACCTTTTTCAAAAAACTCATTTACAGATTTGACAGGATTTTAATGTTGTACATTTAGAATAGATTTAAGGTGTCTGTCATTTTAATGCATTAAAGAGACGTGATCCACATATCAGCTCTGCTATTTGGAATTCAAAATCTTTGAAGCTCAGTTTCTCAGAACTGCTCAGAGCACAGACAGAACCTTATATTTCCAAGGGGATGATAATGCAAAAGGTTGAAAACCCAAATACCACACAAATTACATGTTACACCCTCTATAGGCTGCAAACTTAAATTTTATGGAAAGATTATTGAGCACAGTTTCCTTTCATGTGCTCTGTTTAACACAAACACACACACTATCTAAGCTGCTTATCTTCCTGGGTTGCAGGGGGGAGCTGGAGCCTATCCCAGCGCTCATGGGGTGGAAGGCAGGATACACCCTGGACAGGTGCTCAGTTTAACATATTGCAAAAAACAAAACAAAAAAAGCTTAAAATATATATTTTTTTCTATTTAATTTTTTTTTTTTTACAATATAAATTAAGCAAATAAACGGTAATTGTACCTTAATGTGCTGAGGTCTATTCTCTGTAGAGGTGTGTTCCCATTTTTTCACTTAGAAAATGAACAAAGGATGAAATTCTGTGCTCTTTTTTCAGAACAAAACCTTGCGTCTCCAAAAATGGAAACTTCACAGGAGAAGTAAAAACATACTTCACTTTTAATTTAAGTCAGTGGAACCAGAATTTTTTTCAAGTCATTTTGGGCCATTTTTCTTCTATTTATCAAGACATTTGTACACAATGTAAAGGCCAGCAGGCATTTTCAAATTACGGCAAAAAATTAAAACTGACAAAACTGGAGATATGAGGTTTTGTTCTGACAGCAGCGATATTTAAATAATTTAATTGTATTTAATTTTTCCACACCTCCAAAGTTCAGTCTTAGAAGCTGGTTGATCATTTTCTGAAGTAATCAAACACATTTAGTGATGTTGAGGTCTGGACTCTGGGGTGGTCAGTCCATGGTTCGGCTTCTTTGTTTGATGTGTCCGTCTCCTTTTCTCAGTGAGGTTCTTCTTAAACAGCTACACATCCTTTCAGACCCACAGCGCTGAGTCGTCTTCTCACAGTGGAAGGATGGACAGAAACACCTGTGGATGTTTTCAGATCTGAAGCAGCTTGATTTTCTCCTCTCTCTCAAAGATGAAAGCTGTAAGAACCGTTTATCTGGATATTTTTCCACACCTTTAAAGTTTAGTCTTTGAAGTTGGTTGCATTTCTTGCCTCTCAGGGTCCAAATAATCCTGGTTATTAATTTAGTTCAGTCCATAAAACTTTACTCCACATCTCAGATGTCCAGTTTTAGTGTTCTAGTGCAAATGTTTTTCTTGTCTGTTTCCTTTTCTCAGTGAGGTTCTTCTTGATCAGCTACACATCCTTTCAGACCCACAGCGCTGAGTCGTCTTCTCACAGTGGAAGGATGGACAGAAACACCTGTGGACTCCAGTTATGAAAACACTTTGTCGTTCATGTTTCTTGGAACATTCCCCTTCCAAACATGTCAGTCATGAATAGAAGCTAATGAGGAGACTTTCATGTGACGTGTAAAATTCCATAGCATTCTATGGGTTGTTAAAGGGGAAATATGTCAGTAGGAATGCACGTGTGACGAACAGTGACACTGTTTCTTTACCCTCACCAGCATAAGAAAAACTGTAATTTCCTTTTGCAAAAAAGGGATCTGCTGTATTAATAAGCCGTGTGTTCTGAACGTCTCACTTCTGCAATGTGACGGAGCGAAACGTTTTTTGAGCTTCTGTTTCCCTCTTTAATGGTTCTTCTGCATTCTGGAGAGGATAAAGGTCCAAGCTGGTGGCATTTTAATGATAACATACATTAATGTATCTCCATCAGAGCTCACTGGGGGTTGGATTTGATCTTGGGTGCTGACTAGATGAAGACCAGGCCATGGTGCTGCCGTACAGTTTCACCGTTCTGGGAGTTACTGTAATCGTGGTGGTTTGCTGTATCGGGTGGAGTTTTGCAGAAAAACAGCTGCTGTGCTCTTCAGAATCTGGCAGCATCTGGTATGACTATGAAGGTAAGTCATACATAAACGACATTAATGGATCATTCTATAGAAAACGTCCATTTTGTGTCCCCAGCGGCCCTAGAGATACTGTATATTGCACTTGAAAAACATGTTAGGGTTACAATTTATTTATATTTGAAAATAAAACAAAAAGTTATTTTAACAATTACACCTTCTTGAGCCTCAATTCAGCAATATTGGTTTTTAGATCAGTTATATAGAATTCCAAGCACCACAGAAGTGCTCGTCCTCACAGCCATGTGTAAAGGGTGAGGACATATTTTGATTAAAAAAAAAGTTTTTCTGAATTTTTAACTGCAATAATCTATACATAACCATGAAATATATGATTTAAATGACAAAAAGAATCAAAGGCCAAATAAATATTATAAAATATATAATGAAGGTCCACAGGAGTCGTGTCACTGGTGTTACTGCGTAACAAAAAAATCTCTTATTTTGAAATAAAAGCCACACTGATGACATCACTTGACTTCCTTTTACCTGTTTTCTGAGGATCTATGAAGAAAAGCACATGGTGAGTCCACTGTGTCTTTCAGTTATCAGAGATTTTCTCATTTAGCTCATGATTTCATATGAAGCTTTTAGCTGAAGTCACTGGTGTGACCGACTTTATTCTGAGGTAGTTGTGAAAAATTACAATACAAATGGATTAAATTCCATATTTTAGTGGATATTCCATGACTGACAACATGAGGCTTGATGCTCTGTAGCAGCCGTTTTGTAAAATGCATGTTTCATTAAAAATGTCTCTGGTGTTTCCCTTTATTATGTGTAACACCAATGAGGATCAGTAACACCAGTGACTCCTATGGAGAGATGTTTGGTGCTGTTTTCAGCAAATTTAAAAATAAAGCTGCGTTATGGACCATAGCCTCGAGTCGTCTGTTTCTCCTAAGAACTATGTGCTTCTTCAGTATTTAAAGGGGAACTCCACCGATTTGTCAAAAAATCTACATGGTTAAATGTGAATAGAGATGTTGAGATGTGAACAGATTCGTTCAGAGTGGTTTGGTGTGAAACGCTCTGTTCTAGAGAAACTTACAGAGTCAGAACTGTTCACAGTGGTGGTGATAGGAACCAGACGTCCACCTCTAAAAGCTCCTTCACAGAAGGTTACTACATGAAATGGCTATATATGCTGCCTGATGTCTGAGACATTGTTTGATGACAGTTTTGTGAAACCAGACTCGTGTAGGCTCACTGGTGGTTTTGGATGGTAAATAAAATGGCTGTATCTGTGTTGTAGTCATGGTGACCCCTGGTTCCTATCACCACCACTGTAAAGACATCTGAGTCTATAAGTAACTTTGCAATAAACCACTTCACATCAAACCACTCTGAATGACACAAGGACTGGAATATTCAGAAATTTTGAAAAATTGGTGGAATTCCCCTTTAACTTTAACTCTATTATGCTGTGGTAGACAGCTAAAATAACAAGAAGTTTGTCAATATCCACATATTTATGGACCTGACTGTCTGTATTTATCTCTCAGGACCAATATATTACTTCACAGTGAGTGTCTCACCCTGTCACTTCGGGATGATGGAAACGAACATTCACTACTCCGTTATTACAAGTAAGATTACATTTTCTATCCTGCCATCATTGTTAAATGCTGCATGTTTGTAATTTTACTTGGTTCAGTTGCTCATTTATGAAACTGTCATTTTATTTTTGCTTTGCTTCTTTGTCCATTATGGTTTTAAGATACTAATTTTTTCATTTACCTTTGATCCCACTTTTATAGTGTTTGACTACTCCACCTCCTTGTATGTTTATTTCTGTGAAGTACTCTGAGCTGCATTTTGCTCTAGTACTGTTTAAAAGCCAAAACCCACCGTTCATTTGTTTATTTTCCAGTCAAAACGGTCATTAAGTAGAAATTACTAATTTTTCAGGAGATCTTTCTGAACCCT